TGAGTCGCTCCTGACGAGCCTGGAGCATGCTCAAGTCCAGAAGAGAGGACACAACGTCCTCGCGAGTAGCAAGCTGCTCGCTGCAACGGGCTGAGCGAATGGCTCGACGCGTCGGTAGTCGCGGCGGGGAAKGAGGGGAGATGGTGGTCTGCGGAGGCGCAGACGGTACCGTGACAGAGGGCTGAGTACACTCTGTCGAGTCCCGCGATACCTCAGCTCCAGTAGCAAGAGGGGCGAAATGCGACGGAGATGTCGGGAAGCCCACTACTGAGGAGGGCGCAAGTGTACACTGCACCGTGGCTAGGAGGCGCCGCGGGGATGGGAGGCGCCGGGGGGGACGAAGCACGACGCTGGCGGGAAAGGTCAGCGTAGTGGCGGTTGAGGGCAGCAATGTAAGGGCACTGTGAGGAGTTATGACCGTCCTGCCGGCAGCACAAACACCCACGCCGACCCAAAATGGCCGCCCACTCCTCAACGGAAAGGACACCGCGAGGAGGGACAAAGCCCTGAGGGAGATCCTACTGAGGGACCTCGGGGGGCGACGTGCTAGCATGACCGGAGCGGCTGCGTGTCCGGGAGACGGCGGAGAGGATGAGCTCGAGGCGCTCGGCCATAGGCAGAGTAGAGTCCTCCAGGTGGTAGTGGACGACCTCGCCGAGGTCGTGGTCGTCGCTATGGTCACCCTCAAGCGGCAGCGGGGCAACGGCGTCCTGCTCACCATACTCGAGCACGCTGAAGCGGCGCGAGAAGTGGCGGCCCTGCTGCAGAGAACTGCGGGGGCAACCGCGGAAAGGAGAGCGGCGCTGGGAAGTGTCGTGAGAGGAAGAGGGGGCGTAGCCATTACGCTGAGGCTGGGAGGAGGAAGCGGGGTGAAGACGGGCCCGCATCCGCTGAAGGGTCCCGACGGCCTCATAGGCCTGCGGGGCCGATGTGAACTCGTACCGCCATAACTCGAAGCGGTACTCAAGGGGAAGGCTGGCCAAGAAACGGTCGATGAGGGCAGCCTCAGCGAGGAACGCCACATCACAAATGAGGCGGGCGTCCTTAAAGACCTGTGGTGGTTCAGGCAGGCAGCGCCACCAAAGTCGGACCAGCGTGTGCTGACGACGCGCTCGAAGGCGTCAGTGACGTCATGTCGGGCTCTGAAGCGGTCCTCGAGGAACGCCTGAAAATTCATGAAGGTTGGGGTCCGACCCTCACGAAGGGAGTGCACGTAGAAATCCTCCCAGGCGTCGAAGGGACCACCACGCCGGCGCGTGGAGAGGTGATCCACCCATGTATCGGGTGGGGCGCCCATGAGCTGGAGTATGGTGGCAGACTGCAGCCATCGAGACACGCGTATCCCTGTACCGTCGTACAAAGCAATGTCCTCCAAGCGGCCGAGTGGTGCACCAACATTTTGGCGGCGAGGGGATCGAGGAGCAGAGGCTTGTGCTATGGCTCAGTAAGTCGGCGTAGACCCTGGAGAAAGGGGCGCAACTGACTGTACGCCTGGGCCGCATGAGGGAGTGGCGGGGGCAACCGCGGCAACCGAGGGAATGGGAAGAAGGTAGGATGGGGATGGATAGGGTGCAGGGCGAGGGAAGCGAGCCTGCATGGAAGGAAGAGTAGAGGAGGAACGGGGTGCGCTCGAAGGCGCGGCCACGTGTGAGGGTAAGGGTGGCTGAAGGCGTAAGAGAGCGAGGTCGTCCCGGGTCTGGGCAAGCTCGACCTCGAGACGTCGAAAGTAGATTGAGCGAGGAGTAGCAGGAGGAAGAGTGGGGGAAGTGGGCGCACGAGCGGCGCGGGGCATCCCACAGGGGGGAGAGCCAGGTGGCGCTGCGGTCGTGCGAAGAGAAGGGAGAAGCGGGGCACCCGGAAAAGCTGAGACCATGGCAGCGGGTTGTGGTCCAGTGGTCGTAGTGACCGGAATCTGAGCAGGTGCGCCCGTAGAGTGAGGGAGGGCTTGGCCCGTGGCGGTCGTCGCGCTGGGAACGTGGACGGTCACCAGGATGGTGGATCGGGGGCGGTAGAGGAGGAAGCTCCGTCGTGGCCACCATGTCGGAGGACGGGGAACCCGGACTGGGAGCCAGGAGAAGAGAGAGAGTGAGGAGAGGAAGGACGGTCAGCGTCTTGGAGTTACTGCAGGTCAGCAGCAAGAGTCGCCACCTGTGTCTGTAAGGGCGCAAGGAGGGAGGTGATGAGGGTGTGCATATCCCTCTGGGGCTAATGGCCCTATTCCGTCAGCACGGGTGTGGAGCCCGATGCCGAGGTCGTCGTCGCCTCGGCAGCTTGGGACACGCCGTCGGCCATGGGGAGGTAACGGGCCGGACTAGAGACGGTCGGGGGAGGTCTGCATGAGCGGAGGGCGTAGGGGGAAGTCTGCGATAGAAGGCGACGGACGGCTCTAGTAAATCGAGCATAGGCGCCGTCAAAGGGGGAGAGGTGGTTTGGGTCCAGGGTGCCCGAGTGGAAAGGGGGAGTAAGAGAGTGTTTAGGAAAACCCTAAACCCTAGAAAAACCCTAAGGAGACCCTCACCGGAGTTTGAGTAGTTGGGGTAGGGTACTGGTGACCTAATCAAGAAAAAGAACAGCAAGAATGGGGGAGGCGAGAGAAAAATAAATAAACTGTGAAATTTCGAGAGAAAAATAATAAATAAATAATTAATTAAATAATTAAATAATTAAAAAAATTAAAAAAATAAGGAAACAAAATGTGAGGAGAGAAATAATATTTATTTTTTTGGAATTTTCGGCAGCATTTCCCTACCCCCCATGGGGTCAAGAATGTGCTAAGGGAAAGAAGAGACCAAGATAATTAAACTAAGTTTCAAAGTGCCGCAAATTAAAAATTTCAGAAAATAAATAAAATAATAATAAATAAAAAAATAGAGAAATAAATAAATAAATAATTAGATGAGGAAGTGAAGAAAAATTAAATGTAGGATTTTTCAAAAATTCCGACACCATTTCTTTACCCCCATGGGGTCAAAGTGTGCCGTCAAGAAGAAAGGCTAAGTAAAATGGGAAAATTTTGGCAGCACTTCGTTACCCCCACGGGGTGAAAATGTGTGTCGAAGCAAGAATGACTAACACCTAATCAGATTTAAGGGTACCGCAAAGAAATTCAAATTTTCAAAATAAAAAAAAAAAAAAAAAAAAAAAAATCAGAAAATGAGAAAAGAGTGGGGGGAATAAGATAATTCGAATGTTTGGAAAAGGGAGCAAATATAAATCAAAAGAAAGATGGAAAGAAGAAAAACAGAAAAATTTCGAAGTTGGGGGGAAGGGGGATGAAAAAGTGAAGGAGAAAAGAGAGAAATAGGTGAGAGAGAAAAAGAGTATAGAGGGAGATGGGGGGAGTGATGGGGTTGTAGTTCGGGGAGAGGAGGGAGGGGGAAAGGGAGAGAAAGGGATGGGAAAGGTGGAGAGGGATCAAGGGGCAGAGAGAAGGGAGAAAGAAAAGAAAATAAATGAATAAAATAGAGAAGAATAGTGGGTGGTGGGAGAAAAGGTGGGGTGGGGAGAGGGGTATGAGTAGTGAGGGTGATTAGAAGGAAGTGAGTGGGGTGGGTAAGAGGAGAGAGAGGAGGTAGAGAAAGTGGAATAGTGGAGAGAGGGAAGAAGGAAGTGATACCTGGCCCTTGGTATCTCCAAGGGCACAAGGTATACCAAGACTAGGAGGGTCTTCGCCTTCACGGCAGCAAGCCAACTGGAGGAGGGAGGGGGCTGAGATCTTGATCAGCCCCTTGCAGCAGCACTGCAGCGCCAAGGTATGCTGTGTGAGCAGACCCTCACTAGTGTAGATCAGCCCCTGATCAGGGGGTCTTCAAGCCACAAACAGCACTGGCCGTCAGGCCGGCATGCTGGGACCACTCCCGCGCCCGCCACATCACAGCCACCAGTGTCGGAAACTCATCCTACCCCTGCTCCAACCTGTCCTCCAAACCCGTCGAAACGTGGGGGGAGTGGGGGCACGAGATCTTTCGCCACGATACTTCCAATCACCGGAACCCTGAAACTCACCCCCGAACCTGATCCTACCCCCGCCGCCGGCTGCACTTCGGAACTCGTCGACGGGGGGGGGGCCAAAAACCTCCTTCCGCCCGTCCCAGCCACCTGCGCCACTTGGTGCAGTGGTTATCACACCGTCCTGTAACGTTCGCCACCGCCGTCTGCCCGGGTTCAAATCCCATACGCCGTAAAGTGCGTGATCACCATCACGCAAAAACGAAAAATTTTGCAGCCAAAATTTGACAGCGCCGCCAGTGGGGTTGGAGGAGCGCTGCTTCGGCCCTCCTGCACAAGCGGCCAAGCATTATTGCCGCCCGCAATGATTGCAGTCGCCCTACGAGATGTTGCTTTTCGCCTGCTGCAGCTCCGTGGCGTCCGCAACGATGGCGGACGGATCTTCTGCACTACTTTCCCTACCGGGAAAGTGCAACGCGGTCCACTACCGGACAGCGGGATGACTAGGGTGGATGGGCGGGATCAAGGATCGATCCCGCTCCGATACCAATGTGGTGGACTCATCAGGTGTGGTGTTCCGCTTGGGATAGAGATGGAGATGGAGGAAGAAGGGGGGGTGGCGAGATGGCACAGCGCAACTCCCACGCTAGACTCCAACACGTACTCCAAATTGTGCGAATGTAGAATGATCCGGAAAACAGACAACAGTTGGGGTATACCCCAGCGGACTGACTGGTACCAATAGAGGTACCGACCTGGACAGGACTACCCCGAATACAACACAGACTTGTGAGAACAGGTCAAGGGGCTAGTCTCACAGGCCAACCGGAGGTCCGCTATAACATTTAACATGATATAAAGTATAATAATTTTCGCTATAGTAATTTCATGTCGCAGCTTAGATCAATAAAGGAGTTAGTCAGTGACAAGGCAACCTGTCTTAAATTACGTTCTTCTTCATTTTTGTCATTAGATGAAATTTGAGGAGTGGGTCTACGACCGGATAACCCGTCTTGATCAACCTTCTCTTCAAAAATGGAATTGAGAGGAGTCCGTCTGCGGCAGGGAAACATGTTTTGATCAGAGTTCTCCTCCGATCTTTGAAGGGTATAGATGCGGCAAAGCAATCTGTCTTGATTAAATTTTTTTTTCAAATATTAATTGAGAGCAGTTCGTCTGCGGCAGGGAGACCTGTTTTGATCAATGTTTTGTTCTCAACTTGAAGTAGAAAGAAATTTGTATGTGGCAAGGAAACCTATCTTGATCGACATTTTCTTTTGATGGATCGAAGAGTTCATCTGTGGCAGGGCGACCTGTTTTGATCGGCGTTGTGTTCTCAAACATGAAGTAGAGAGGAACTTGTCTGCGACAGGGAAACCTGTCTTGATCAACATTTTCTTCTGATTGAGAGAAAAGTTCATCTTCGGCAGGGTAAACGTCGTGATCAGTGCTATCTTATAAAATAGAGGAGTTCGTATGCAGCAGCGAAATCTGTCTTGATCAATGTTATCCTCCGTCCTTTAAAGAGTTTGCTTGCGACAGGGAGACTTGTCTTGATCAGTGCGTTTTTCAAGGACTTATATGGATAAAAATGTTGCGACGTGAATTATTATTTAATTAAGATGTGATATTCAGTAAGATATATATTTTTTTGGTCATTCAGATTTTGTCTGATTTACTTCCAGGAGGTTGGTACGTTTAAAAAGACCCGTCAGGGGGTTAACTCGAAAGACCCGTCAGTGACAAGGCCATTTGTCGAGGACTTTAAACGTTGGACGTTGTCCGACTCTTTCGTTGAATTGAAGGACTTGATGAGACTCGCGTTTGCCACAAGTTTATTCAGACCTGACTTATGACTGAAAGACTAAAAATTTTGAGTTTTAGTCCAAACACGTTTGACGTGCGAGAGTAACGACATTAACTGGCAATGCCTCGCTTTTGTCAAAGCCGCAGAGAAGCATAGACGTGTAAATGTTAAAGTAAGGCGCAA